GATTCTATGATTCTAAGTTAAAAGGAGGTCAGAAGTAAAAAGATCCATGCAGCTACATTTTGCCTAGAAAGGAGGCAAAATGCAACCTTACTGTGGTGTTTAAAGTCAGAGGGCTTTCCTGACCTGGAGTACAACAGCTACTATCTCCTCCCCCTTTGAAGATGTAGCAATGGAATCTCTATGAGGGATGTGGTAACTTCCTCTTTAACGGTATTTTTTTTTTTTTTTGCCTTGGCTTTTTGGCCATGTGGGCATTCTCCGTTGCCCTTTTTTCTCCTGCTTTTGTCTTCCTTTCAGTGAGGACGCATTTTGCCTTTCTCCAGGCAAAATGTAGCTGCACGGATACTTTTGATATTTTATTGTTTTACCTTCCTAAGAAGATGAGCTTAGTAAGCTAGTGAGCTCCAAGACCCCTTTCTATCTAGAATGGATTTCTTTCTACTTTTATATATATATATATACTTCCAAACCTAAAGTTGCCTCTGCAATCCTGATCCATCCTACTGAATGGAAGCTAATCCTAATTTACCTCACGTAAGTTTCTGCTGGTTATGAGCGGTGATTTTGGCACTCTGCTATATTTTTTTGTGGAATAACCCCAAGTGAGAGTTATTTTGAGCGTAATAGCTGCGATTCCCAACACTCCCACATGCAGCCCCCTCCCCTTAGCCAGCCTCTCCCCCCCTCCCCCCCACACCCCGCCGGGGTCCCACCTGTCTGCCTTGCACCACTGGATGCTGCGCACGGCCTGGTCGTGGGCCAGGAAGGAGTGGAAGGGGAAGAGCCGGAGGGAGCCGTCCGCCTGGCGCATCCGCAGCAGCAAAGAGGTGGTGGTCAAGTCCCAGAGGGCCACAGTGCCTGGGCAGGAGGAGAGGGGAGGAGGGACAAAGGCGTAGGTGAGGGCCGGCTGGCATAGCCCTGAGGCCAGGAGCACGGGCAGAGCGCTCTCTTACCATCATAGAAGCCGGCGGCCAGGTGCGCGTGAGGCCTGGAGGGCAGCCATGCCACACTGAAGCACTGACCGCACTCAGCGGAGGAACCCTCGGCCTGGATGGAGCTGACCTGCAAGGAGGCCACGCACTGGACCTGAAGGAAGGAGCAGGTGGACATGAGCGGACCCTGTGGAGGGCGGGAAGGCCTCCAACCTGCAAGATGGGTGGGGAGGGGGACTAAGGAGCAGGCCCAGCCCCTGGTTGTGGACACCTTGCTGACCCTTCCTCCCTGGCCTTGACTCCCTGCTCTACAAGAAGTGGGCAGCAGGCTGGAATGCAAGGAATGTTGTGGCCTGGAGGGGCCCAGGGAGGTGACCTGATGATCTCGAGGGCCCCCTCTTTCCCTTCCCCAAAACTCCATACCTCCCCCTCCCCTCCCGATGGTGGTCCAGGATTGAAAGAGAAGGGGCACCCACCTTGTAGATGGCCTGCCGAGGGGAGAGGCCTCCGCTGCCTAGGAGAATAATTTATGTTAATTTCCAGCCTTGGTACCCCGTCCTTGTTGGGAGTAAAGGCAATCTCACACACATTTCCAGTTTGTCCCTGCACCTGATTTAAATATGCATGTCAGCTAATGACTTGACCACCATTTGAAATGTGTTTTAGGTCACGTAAGCCATCTGAGCACATGTCTGGAAGGGTATATAATATATAATATTAAATATTACAATTATAATATATTCAATGCAAAATTCAATGCTCAAAAACATCACAAAACAGTTAAAAACAATTAAAACAGTAGCATAATAAATAGACAATATAAATCAATAAAACATCTCATTCCCGTCTCATAGTGAGAATCAAGATCCAGTCTCATCATCCAATTGTTCCATATTCCTATGTTCATTACGCTGCCTATTCAAATGCCTGCTCGAACAACTAGGTCTTCACTTTCCTCCAAAATGTCAACAGGGAGGGGGCCGATCTAATATCTGTAGGAAGGACGTTCCAGAGGCGAGGGGCCACCACTGAGAAGGCCCTGTCTGTCGTCCCCGCCAAACATACTTGTGACGCTGGCGGGACCGAGAGCAGGGCCTCCCCAGACAATCTTAACACCCTAACTGGTTCATATATGAGTCTACGCTTCTGTATAATCCAGTTCCCCTTCCCCTCCCTCCTCACTCTCCTCTTGACCACCACGCTCTGGTTGTTGTGAATTATAGCAGAGGAAGCAGAACAAACTCAATGA